CCTTAACCCCCTGGACTATTTTTTGTGGGGTCAACTTAAGGCAAAGGTTTATAAAATTCCAATTGAGACCATTCAGCAACTACGGGAGGAAATTGAAACCGCGTGCATGGAAATAAGGCAAACACCTAGAATTTTCCAAAGAGTTCGCAAATCATTGAAGCGTCGAGCTAGATTATGCATCGAAATGCAAGGTGGTCACTTCGAGCAGTTCTTGTAATTTAACTTATTATTACTAATTTTAATCCCATTATTTTCTATTTCACATTTAGCTATTGTCTGCAGTAGTAATTAGTTCTTTAATTAGTAAGTGTAACTCTAAATTTAAATAGTCTTAGTTTATGTCCTAAATTATTTATTAAATTATCGGATCCTTCATAACTGCAATTTATTTGAAAAAAAAACCAGTTTTGTTTGAGCCCTTTTAAGGGCATATAACTTCCTAAGGGTGCGTTTTAGGGCACATGTTAATATGAACTTTTTGGCTTATTTTAATGAGTTATAAACGCAGCAGAATGCACACATTTAAGATTAACTCTGGTTGCATGCTAAGCTATAAACACCGGTAACGCTTACAGATCTGCCATCTGGAGGACGGAGCTCACTTCGGGGAGATAGCCCTGATCCTCAGCGAGACTCGAGTCGCCACCGTCGTCGCGGTCTCCGCCAGCGAACTGTTCATGCTGAGACGCTCGGATTTTGTGGCGGCCATCGAGCCCTTTCCCGAGTTTAGGGACCAGCTGATAGCGCTGGCGACGGAGAGGATGCACAAGACGATTTCACAAACGGATAGCCATACGGACAATAAGAATTTATAGATTCGGATGTTTTGTTAGATTCCGTGTTGTGGTTCAAGCGTTATAAGTACGGTTCACAGTAATGGAGTAAGATAAATAGTTTCTTCAGTTTTGTTGTTGCAATTTTTCTTTTAAAGTTACTTGTTAATAAAGACCGTGTTGTTAGTATCGTCTTTATTTACTTTTTGTGGCAATGGTTATAAGATTAATGTCATCGTTATCGACGGTGTCAAATCTGGTTTTGATCGGTCAAAGATCTGCCTAATTCTGTAAAGTGTTTACAACGGTGGTCATGGTTACCGTGGCGCAGCAGTGAAAGGCGGAGTGGGAGTAGTGCATATTCACTGTGCAGTTGCGGCTCTGTTTAGTCCTATTGTAATCATATAATAGTTATTTACCGCTTTTTTTTATTAAACGTAATTTGTTTAAATGTGGCGTAAATTTTTTTTATCTACGTATTGTTTCTTGAGTTTTTTAAAAGACTGTTAAAGTTTAAATCAGATTGTAAAGACTAACAGCACTTGCAATGCTATCTATTGGAAAATCCGTGGTGCGAAGGATATAGGAAACTTTATTAAAAAAGTAATTGAAAAGTTTATTTCGGAAAAATAATATTGAGAGCATTTTCCCAATACAGGCTATCCCACTAAGGTGGGCAAGATACGATATTAGGGAATGATTAGGCCCTACAGCTTCGGGAAAAATATTTTGATGAATAAATCGACCAAGAGAAGTCGCTGGAAATAGTTTTCAAGTTCGTAGCTCGGCCGCTAGGGGGCGCAATTTACATAACAAAACAGAGTTGAATTTTTCCTACTCAGGTATATTAAATAGTGCAAATCTGGATAGCCGGATTCATTGCGCATAACTTTTGTTATTGACATTTTGCTCTATCTCTCGACAGAAAGGGTGGGGAAAGCCCCTAATGTCTGATTACAAAAATGCATGTTTTTAAAGATTGGCTCAACAAAAACCCCCAGTGTTATTAGTCCAAGCATTCTGTCACGGATTAATGTTAAATTTGCAGAAATTATTACCTGGACAAAAAAAATATGACCGTATAGAAAATTAAATTTTAAATTGAGTTTCTTGTTCTTTAAACTCGATCCAATATGGCGAACATGGTTAAAAAAAATCGCAAAGTTGAAAAAAACTGTTTTTCTAAAATAACTAAAAAAATATAGCACGGATTGAAAAATTTTAAATGAGAAAGTTGTAGGTTTTAAAAAGATCTATCGACAGATTTTTTGAAAGTATCGATTGCTTTGTTACTTTTCGAGATATATCGAAAAAACCGTTAAAAATCTTCTCTTTTCTCTTCTTCTATAACTCGTTTACATTTACGTGCCCATATTTGCTATTTACTGCAAGCATAGCCCGCGGCAAGCCAAAAAAGTACATTTTTGAAAAATTTAAAAATATTAATTATTTTTCGAGATATATCGATTTTTTGAAAAAAAGGCGCTCTCGAAAATTGGCTAGATCTTCTCAGCGGATAGCCCTACAGTAACGATTTTCGGTTTATTTTCTTCGTAAAGAGTTATATTATCATGCTGTTAAAAAATGTTGACGATTTTATTAATTTTAAGGATCAAAAAATGACTGAAAAAGTTGCACTTTTTTTGGGTATGTTTTTTTCAAATAACTATTTCAATTTTTATTATTTTTTTGTACTTAATCTGGGGTAGCTAAACACGAATATTATAGCATTTTCGCCTTAGAAGCAAAATAGACCCGTAAATGTTTAGTTTTCTTTCTTTAAAAGTCATTTTCATAAAATAAAAATTGAAATAGTAATTTGAAAAAAACATACCCAAAAAAGTGCAACTTATTCAAAGTCATTTTTTGATCCTTAAAATTAATAAAATCGTCAACATTTTTTAACAGCATGATAATATAACTCTTTACGAAGAAAATAAACCGAAAATCGTTACTGTAGGGCTATCCGCTGAGAAGATCTAGCCAATTTTCGAGAGCGCCTTTTTTTCAAAAAATCGATATATCTCGAAAAATAATTAATATTTTTAAATTTTTCAAAAATGTACTTTTTTGGCTTGCCGCGGGCTATGCTTGCAGTAAATAGCAAATATGGGCACGTAAATGTAAACGAGTTATAGAAGAAGAGAAAAGAGAAGATTTTTAACGGTTTTTTCGATATATCTCGAAAAGTAACAAAGCAATCGATACTTTCAAAAAATCAGTCGATAGATCTTTTTAAAACCTACAACTTTCTCATTTAAAATTTTTCAATCCGTGCTATATTTTTTTAGTTATTTTAGAAAAACCGTTTCTTCTAACTTTGCGATTTTTTTTGACCATGTTCGCCATATTGGATCGAGTTTAAAGAACAAGAAACTCAATTTAAAATTTAATTTTCTATACGGTCATATTTTTTTTGTCCAGGTAATAATTTCTGTAAGCATTTCTCTTTGGAAAGGTCTTTTCATGCTTTATCTCGTGGTGAATGCGTAAAGTCATTTACCTCGATATGGAAACCTATAGATAGGCGTCATTTCAAAAGAATGCCGTTTTATGGATTTTTCTCAAAAATTTGAAATGCAATGCTATAGTTTTCTTTACATAAATCAATTCAACACAAAAAATTGTTGAATATAGTGCAAGTTAAAAATTTCTAACGAAAGTGTTGTTTATTTATTGGCGCTCTTTATCCATGTTTCGGTTGTTTCACGTTTTCTTAAAAAGTGAAATTGAAGCGGCATAGACAAAGACGGATTGTCGGGGATTAAATTTTAGCTACCTGCTACAATTTAGTACAACCCGGTCACCAAAGTTTTTTTAAAAGTACACCTCATCTATACCGATAATACGTAATATAAAAATATTGAATATAAGCACCAGTACTACATTTATTTACGATTTGCATACATAATAAGCTTTTATTACTCTATTTCATTTCTAAACAGACTATATACCTAAACACGCAGCGAAGGTTAAATTCCTGTATTGAAAATAATGGTATGCATTTCGTGGATTTATAAACATCTTTACTTTTGTTACTTACTTATTTTATTGTTCTTTCGTGACATAATATCAATATCTATTTGTTATTGTTTTTGTTATTATTTTCAAGATTGTTATTGACTCACTCATTTGCGTGGGTTTAGGTAGGTTCTTTTTATAAACGCATATTGTTTTAGTCAAAAGAAGGGAGTAGCTTAAGTAAGTACTTTTATTTTTAGAATTCATTATTTACTTAACGTTAAATTTGTTTTTCTTTGTCCTAATAAAATCAATTGAATTTATAAGCTAATGTATAAAATTAAACAATAAAAAAAGTTTCTAGTTTTAGCATATGAATGACAAAAATTTTTGTAGCTGGCCACCTGTAAGAGATCCAACGGAAAAAATTTTCGCTTCCCTTTCCAAAGGTCCACCGGTCTCAATAATTTTGCCAATCTCACCTGTCAGCTGTTTCAGCGGGATTTATTCTCTTTAATTTGAGCTATGTACTTTTTTTAAAGTAAATTTCCATCCAGCCATCCAGAAATTGTCAGATTGACAAACATCGTAACTAGTAAATAATTCGGTGGTTTCAAGTGGGTTTTTTTTGGTTTGTTTTCCCTTCTCCGACACCCGCTATGCCGCTGTTCGAAGACCACGACTGTATGCTCGCAGATGCGCACGAAGACGTCGTCAATCAGTTCGTCCAAAGTGGGATGTGGATCACCTTTAGAAGAAAGTTGCGCTCTTTGTGCATGATCAGCAGGAGCCATCCCGAGACGTCGAGGTATTTTAAATCTTACTCTGCGTGCCGCAATGAAGAAGTGAGGCACATGTTGCGCCACTACTACATGATACACCCCTTCAGCGCCTTCTGGTATGTACTATCTAAATAACACGCAAATAAAATATATACCGCGAGGTTTTATTTCCACCAAGGAACTGATATAGTCCATCAGTACTAAATTGATAGCTCTGATGACATTTTTAATCCTAGAGAAAACTTTTTTGGTCGTTAAAAAATGATGTAGGAGCCTATCTCCTAATATTTTTACATTTAATACAAATTGTAATAAAAAAATAAAAATACATTGGTAGCGATCAAGATGTAAATTATTACATACTTCAGTCAAATTAGAATTTGATCCTGAAAGAATTACTAGTAGGCATTTCATTGCACTTTATGACGGGGAAGGATATACAAAATGACAATATCAAAAAAGTAACTCAAAAGAAGTGATGCTAAGTGCAAATATGTGGCAAATTTACGTGTTTTTTCACTTTCTTTACTGTCCACGAAAATTTAGACGATCTGTCGGGAAATTAGTCATTTTATGTTGCAGGCAATTAAATTACCTACAATTTAAGGTATCTAAAGTCATATTTCACCAGTTTGTTAACTGTAAAATAAAGGTTTAGAGCGGAAATATCAGTGAAAATTTCACAATAGTATTTTTCAGCCAATTAAAGGCCTGTATTTTGTAGCGTTACTATAGCAACTAAGAAAATTTCCGGAAATTTTTCTCTTCCTTGGGGTAAGGAGCATGAAATTACACTGGAAATTTTTTGACATTTATAAATAAAATGACATTTATATTTAACTTCAAATTTATTCTATCATAATTTAATAAGTACAAATCATTTATAAATAATTATTTACCAAGTATGTACTTTTAGTAGTTTTAATTAAAGCGTCCAAATGTTGCTGAAATTCCTCAGCCACGTCTTCTTTTCTTAATGGGGAATAAACAAGCACACATTCACTAAAATTTATAAAATGTCTATGTTTCAAAAAATAAATGTAGTACTTTGAAACAATCTTATTCTGCTGTGATCCACGAAGAGCTCCATATTTCTTACACACAAGAAGCAAATGATTTTTAATAATCCCAAACAAGTTTGGCGAATAAATTTCTGGCCCGCATTCTTGTAATAAATACATTAAAAATTTTAGGTTCCGATGATACATTTTAATTTCACTAACTTTTTTGCAAAACTTGCATAAAACGTATTTCTCAAACCGCTCCATTTTTCAATTGTACAACACAACGATTTTAAAGAAAATGGTCAAATAACGTCAAAAGTCACGATTACCTTGTTTGACATGGATTCCATGGCCTTCTTAATAATATATACATATGAATTTTATTGATATTACATAGTGCTTAAGGTTCTTTGTAAGAAAATATATTTCTACCAACTTTAGTAAAATGAGTATGTGGAAAACTGAGGGATTGATCTACTATCGACTTATTTTTTATTATTTTGCTTAACTAAAGTCGGTTAGTTGTATTTTATTTAACCTAATGTTATATGTATGTAAGTTACTTTGATTATATATACTGCTTCAAGTTTTTTTGCAATAAAATATATTTTTACCAACTTTAGTNTGCTTATCTTTGATTTTTTGGTATTATCTGGCATCAGATGTTGAATTTCTTTTTTTATTATGTCCTGGTTTTCTTCTCCAAAACGAGACATTTTTCGTAAAAAAACACTAAACTTTTCACTTTGACACCGTGCATATAAAATGACATTTGTTATCCTTTTTGAATTAACATACAAAGCCTACTGTCTCTTCAAAACAATCAAAAAATTTTAATATCTTTATATTTTTGTCGATATTTTTTAACACTTCATTGTGAAATTTTCTTACCGAATACCACTCTAGCTTCAATTAAAAACTGGAAATTTTTTCTTGCACACGAATATTTTTTAGAAAATTCGTGTGCTCGAAAAAATTTCCAGTAATAATTGAAGCTCCAGTGGCATTATAAGTGAAAATTTCGCATTATTATTGCAAAAAGCGATGGATGTCGATGAAATTTATGGAAAAGACGGTCAATCCAAAGACCAACATGTGTACCAAAGAATAAGCTCTATTTAATGCAAAACGAGCGAATTCCCGAGCGAAAATAAAACTTGTTTATTTGGTATGACTGGATTGGGTTTTCTATAAGCTTTTCAACGAACCCCCTTATGCCTTATGTTTGCATTTGAAAAAACAAGTAGGGGTAGCTGGGGGTTAGGGGGTTGAAGATAAATTAATTATTGTATAACCGAAAGATGGGAAAAAATCAAAATCAGTTATCGTGTTTCGGCGTTTTAAAAAAAAATTAACTCACTCAAAAGATATGAATTTTATTCCGTACTTCTGGCCATCCCTGTATACTGTATTGCAGCAACAATAATGCAGATAAAAATTTCGGACCACTTTTATTTTGAAGAGAATCTCAAAACGAAATTTTTTCTCCTTTGTCTATTTTGTCTAATGTCAATATTCTCCGAATTATACATGAAAGAAGGGAGAAAAATGTGCCTTTTTTATTTTTTATACACTTCCTTGTGCTATCAATTATGCACAACTTTTTCAGCGGGCTCATATCGTATCTATCATTTTATACAGGGTGAGTCAGTTTTTTGTGGACAAACTTTAACAGGAGATAGAACACATGTTTTTAAAAATAAAAGTTCCTATAAACATATGTCGTAGAAGGCTTCGTTTCCGAGATACAGGGTGTTGAATATAATTTTTTTTTCTCGAATTTTCATTATAACTTATAAACGAATGCTTAGATAATTTTCATGTTTGGGAGATAGTGCCTATTAATTAAGGGACATAAAACAAGCGACAAGAATGGTCAAAAACTTGCACAGTGGCGGAGTGGAGGGGGTGCTCAATCTCTTTCTTAAACAGAAGTTCTAAGCCAATGACTATTTTTTAAAAAAACTGTTGTTTTCATTATCTACATACAGTTTAACAAAAATAATGTCCCTTCTGCTGTTTCGAAATTCCTGTGCGTTTCCGAGTTATTTTGATTTTTATTGTTTGTTGTGGTACTAAATTAAGTAATTTATTTATTATTAATTATCGACTAAATATTTAAATCTTTCAACGAAACCTACCTAAACATGGTTTGTTAAGGATTCTAAAAAGCCGTAATCTCTTATTCTTTATTTCTTTCCAATATGGTCAAAATAAATATTTGTTATATCAAGCTATACTCTAATACAAGACTTTTATAAGTTGAAATTTGTTACATTACATACATACAGTACATTATTGTGCAGTTGCCAAAAAGTTTTAAGAACTTAATTAATTAAATATTGTTATAAATTCAAAAAATTTCTGCATAAACATTAACATCAATAATACTAATAATAATAAATAATAATAATATCTCTACTCCTCATTCTAATTACAAGAATTAGCCCATAAGTCGGAGACTTGTGCGGGAGAGGAGGCGGCATATTATTATTAGTAACTATAGCTAAAGCCCTTAGTGAATCCATGATCTAAATATGATGCTCTATTATTTCGTAGTAGGTTTTATATTTTACAAAATTAAAATGAACTTATTATTTCAGAAAACGATGCACACCTACGTAAAAAACAGCGTCAGTCAGAGAGATTAAATGCATTTATGAATAAATACAAGGCTACCTTAGACAAGTCAGGAGCAAGTGGATCATTAAATGACGGAAAACCTGCACCACCGTCCTTAAAATCAGATGTATACACATTCACTCCACAAGATTTTAAATATGAGAACAAACACTACAAATACATCAAATATACAAAATACAAGGTGAGTAAATAAATTACATTAACTTTTTGGTTTAATAAGCAAGTACTGGAGTGGGTAAGTTTGGAGAGTTCGTGTATTTACGATGATCATCCCAAATCTAGTACCTACCTTAAAACAGTGCATGAAACCTTCAACACAACGCGAAACTAAACTACGGGACACGAAGCGACCTGATATACATACTTTATTCAATAGAAATGCATATTTGTGTGGAGTTGTTGACCGAGCGTTTTTTGTTAACTNAAAAAAAAGTAGGGGTAGCTGGGGGTTAGGGGGTTGAAGAAAAATTAATTATTGTATAACCGAAAGACGGGAAAAAATCAAAATCAGTTAACGTGTTTCGGCGTTTTAAAAAAAATTAACTCGAGATATGAATTTTATTCCGTACTTCTGGCCATCCCTGTATACTGTATTGCAGCAACAATAATGCAGATAAAAATTTCGGACCTCTTTTATTTTGAAGAGAATCTCAAAACGAAATTTTTTCTCCGTTGACTATTTTGTCTAATGTCAATATTCTCCGAATTATACATGAAAGAAGGGAGAAAAATGTGCCTTTTTTATTTTTTCTATCATTTTACATAATATTTGAACTATTTCCAACTAAAATTAGCGTTAGTAGTATAAAACATCCATCTCGAAAAAGGTAGAGATACCCACTGGACTAATAGATCGTCTAGATTTTCGTGGGTGGAAAAAAAGTGAAGAAACACGTAAATTTGCCACTTATTTGCTATTTGCCAACTTACCGTCACTTCTTTCGAGTTACTTTTTTGTTATTATTATTATACATACCCTTTCCCGTCTTATTAATAATTTTTTCAAGTTTTCAGATTTTTTGATCTAATTCGACTGGAGTATATTGCATGTCTCTTTTTCAGTTTGTATTGGGAGTTCTTCATGTTCTTTTTGTTTACCGCTCTGTACGTGGTTATTCCTGTAGATGCGTCCGTAGTAATAATGCAAAAAAAAGACTACATTTATTATACTAAATGCGTTTTGGATCTGATGCATGTAGCTGATATGACAAAAATATTCTTTACTGGCTACTACCACGAGGAAAAAAGCAAAGTTATGTTAAGCCCGTCGAAAATCGCCAAGTAAGTAATTATATTAATTTTGTTTAAGTACTTGTTGGTATATCCGGTGGCGGCCAAATTATTAGACAAGTCTAACGCTTTAATGTTTTGTTCACTTCAATACGAATCGAAATAGACCTAGTGGATTCCAGCAAAGAAAATTCAAGAAATCAAAAGAACTTGCGCGCGAATCGTTATCTGAATCAATTTTGAACTATGTAGCACTCTCGGCTTCGGTATCAAATACAAACAACATAGTAAAATGTTGAAAGTGACCTTCTTGATGAAACAGATGATGAGTAGAAAAACAGTATCAAAAAGCATTGGTTGGAGGGACGTTGGGAAGGGAGCCTGACATACAAGGTGAAGAACAAGGTGGAGAAGATCAACATCAAGAAAGAAAAAGGACGGAATAGAATTAGAGCAAATTGGATACGACGAAGAAGAGCTACATGGAAATGACAAAACAAATTCATTTTATTTAACTCGTTTCGATGTTGCTACTTGCTCAAATGGGAAGTGAAATCCTATCAAAATAGAGATGACTCATTTTTAGATAATGTCCAAAGATCTGGAGATAAAATAAAAGAAAAGAGCCGACACTTCAATTTAAAATGGTTTTATAAAGCGTTACCAAATGGAGAAAAAGGACTCAGAAATTGGATGATATATTCTTCAACAAAAAACTGTTTGTTCTGTTTCTGCTGCAAACTCGGTTTAATTTATGGTGGAATAGACTAGGCGGTATCTGTTTTGGTTTGGGTGAATCGTATATCCACGGAGATTTTTGGCTTTTTGGCCTTCAAATATCACTAGAAATGAAATTTTTTCTATGCGCATAAAAAAAACGTGGGCTTAACTTTTGGCGGCACAATATGTTAAAAAAATTCGAAAAATGTCATATTTTTCTTCCTATTTAATTATGTATCTTTTCAAGAGTTGATTTTAGGCGAAAATGGAAGAGGAAAAAAATGTTTGTAATTAAATTTTACAAAATATGACTAGTTACAAATCGAATGAATCATGATTATTATTGTAAAAATCGAAAAAATCGCCAAAAATGGGGTTAAAAAACATTACTTTTTGGGGAATTTTTTTTTGGGTTCTTTAAATTGGGTATAGGACCTTCATACTTGGCTCAAAAAAAGTTCATCTTATGTAGAATCATCACACCAATTTTCATCAAAATCGGTTCTATAGATTTTGCATAATAATTTTGCAATCCAGATTTAGCAACAAAATTGCAAATTTTCAAAAGTTTGCACAGCAAAAACCAAGGCCCTTAGATACTTGAAAATTTAATCGCATATAGAAGGGCTCTCAAGCTTTCAAACGCTTTTTGAAAAATTCAAATCCGCCAATTAGGAGAGCTCTGGCGCTTATTTAAACATTGGTCGAATTTTTGTATAATCTATAATTTTGTATTTTTGTAATATAATGAGTTAATTTCACATTTGCTTATATTTTAAACAATAAATAATATTTGAATTATACTTTAATCACAAAAGAAATGATGATTAAATTATTAATTAACTATTAATTTTCGACATATTTTGAAACTAATTGTTGTTTAACAATTTTAGAATATTTAAATAAATTTGCTTTTGATCTTTGATAAACAGTATATAAGTTTAAGCACTTATCTGTGATACTATAAAAAAATAAAGTTTATAATTAAAGAAAATTTAAAGATAATTAATTATAGGACTGTTGAAATACCAATAATTATTAACGATAGGCATTTGAAAATACACTAATTATATTTTTTAAATCGCGAGACATCGATTTAAAAAAAAATCATCAAAATCGGACCTCTAGAAGCTAAGATATTAAAAATTTGTTAGATTCAATTTCAAACAGGCCGAAGCGTCCGCGGTCTCTGCTTCCCCCACCACCACCAGCACCCGTACGATTTTCTTGAATTTCTCGCTTGCACAAATAACTTTAAACACGTTTAAATGTAGGTTGCCAATGAAGAAAAGTATTGCAAACTTAAACCTGGTAAGAACTCGGAATAACAAAGGTATTTTTCGAAAAATTAGCCCGGATGTCCCAGTACATTTAGTGTAAATGACGGTTAACTTTGATCGGCTATAACTAATTGACCAATCTATCTGTTGTTTTTTTTTTAAAGAAGCGCCTTTCCAATAACTAAATAATAAAAAAATAAAATTTGATTTGATTGAATATTCAAGAAGTTATTCTAATTGTTTATAAGTACAAAAAATTGACCAATGTTTAAATAAACGCCAGAACTCTCCTAATTGACGAACTAGAATTTTTCAAAAAGCGTTTGAAAGCTTGAGAGCCCTTCTATATGCGATTAAATTTTCAAGTATATAAGGGTCTTGGTGTTCGCTGTGCAAATCTGGATTGCAAAATTATTATGCAAAATCTATAGAACCGATTTTGATGAAATTTGGTGTGATTATTCTACATAACATGAAGTTTTCTTGAGCCAACTATAAAGGTCCTATACCCAATTTAAATACCCCAAAAAAATTCCCTAAAAAGTATTGTTTTTTAACCCCATATTTGGGGGTTCTCTTCCATTTTCGCCTAAAATCAACTCTTGAAAAGATATATAATTAAATATGACATTTTTCGAATTTTCTAAACATATTGTGCCGCCAAAAGTTAAGCCCACGTTTTTTTATGCGCATAGAAAAATTTTCAGTTCTAGTGATTTTTGAAAGCCAAAAAGCTAAAAATCTCCGTGGATATACGATTCACCAAAATATGGGCTCTTCGAAACAGATACCGTCTGGACTAGAAACTAAATCCTAAAGTATCTGAACAGAGAATTGGAGAACCATCTCTCTTGTTTTGCAAACTGGAAAATCTTGGAAAATGGATTGAAGCTACAAAAAAACCATCGACCATGAACATCAAATGGTCTTTGATTATGAAAATACGAAGTGACGTGATATTTTGAGTCGTCTTTTAGATGTTATTCTTTTCCTGGCACGCCAAAACCTTCCTTTTAGAGGACTTAGTGAGGGGGTTTCATCAGAAAATAGGGGGAATTTGTCGAAATATGATCCAGTGCTAAAAGCACATACGCTAAGAATTCAACATGCTATCGCCTGTACAAAACGGAAACGGATGGATTCTTATTTGCCCAAAGACATTCAAAGTGAGTCAAAATCAGCTTTTTGGAGAAAGAGGTGAAAAATAAATTGTGGATGACAAAGAAAGCTGAAGATATTTCGGAATTATTTTCGATAGCACCCCACATATCACATGTAGATCAGATATGTTCATATTGAAGACGATCAAGTTGAATTGAAGGAATCGTTTCTGGGTTTCTTCTTCCCTTATAGCTGTAAAGACTACAGTCGAACTTACTGAAAATATCCTTACGTAACTAGAGTGTGATAACTTGGACAATGGACATACATCTGTGTCGGGCTCAAGGATATGATAACGCTGCAACCATGGTAGAAGTTCATGGTGGTGTACAAGCAAAAATCAAAGAACACAATCCTAAAGCGTTATTTATGCCTTGTGTTAATCATTCACTAAATCTATGCGAAGTGTACTCTTTCGGAAGCGTTAGTTCTAGCGTAACTTTTTTCGGAACAGTAGAGTTTACACGTTCTTTTCATCATCCAAAATTTTTTAATGTAATCAAAATGTTTTAGGCGGTACCTGACTAGTTATTTCTTTTTCGACCTCTTGTCTTGCATACATTCCTTCATGTTACTTATAAGATACTTTGTGACAGTCGACACTTTAGTTCTACTGGCCGTAAGGACTCTTGTCTTACTGAAAATGGTCAGGCTAGGCAGATGGGTGGATATAGCGGAGTTATTTCGGCAGGTATGTGCATTTCTGACTTTTTCAAAACAGCGCGTTGTGCTTTAAAAAAACCGAGGGAGTGAGTTTATCTCACTTGATACGTTTCCGATGTACAGGGTGTTAAATTGTTGGTTTGAAGACGGAAAAAATACGTTAAACGTCGAAATTTCTTAAGAGAGAGAGAAGATTCTTAATGTATATGCGTCAGACGGAGCCCTAGAAAAATCAAATCCAAGGTTAACCCTTAAATGACCCCTAAATTTAATCACGGGGCTCAAGGTCAATCATGACCACGGTAGTTTGTAAGGAATTTGCCACAATAATTAATCAAATTTTGTCATAAAACGTAATAGTCCACGGGCCCACGTACAAAAAATAAATGATTACCAGCAAGCTGTAACTTTGCGTGCAGTTTAAGTTTGACGGGTCTCCCAAGATTTGACTACGGGGAAAATTCAACAGTGGTAAGTTTTCCCGTGATTTTCAGGAAAACATGTCAATCTGGCATAGACATGGCATGTTATGACCAGCACTTTTTTTTAAGATTAAATGAAAGATATATATTTTTTAAACCCCCCAAAAAATTTGTCCGCCAAAAATTTTGGCATTTTGAGTTTGTCACCCACCCCAAATATGTCGATTTGGCGATATTATGGTTGGTGACAACCAGCAAGCAAAATCCGACAAAATTCTTGAGAAGTTTTTGCAGTCCGACGCCCCGAAGATGTCGATTTAACGACAACATGGTTGGTGATAACCAGCAATCTGGATTTGATTTTTTTTTCTCTAATAATTGAAATGTATAACACAATAATATACTTGTCCGCCAAAAAGATTGGAAAATTTGCCTTAAAAATGGGAAAGATAACTATTTTTTTGATACCTAATGTTCATTCTGCTACAAAATAATTAATTTTTTAATGAAAAATAAAGAAGAATAAATAAGAAAATTATCTTGTTAAGGGGCCATCCATAAATTACGTCACACGAATTTTAGGACTTTTGAACCCCTCCCCCCGTCCTTGTCACAGGTTGTCACATTTTTATAATCCCCCCCTCCTGATGTGACGTCACACATTTTTTAAATTTAGGCATGTATTTAAAAATAATCGAGAGAAAACAGCTATTTTCATTTTTTAATGTTGCATGAGAGATAATCTCATAGCGAGAATGCTAAATTATTAATAAATATAGATCAAGTTCGTAGATTTTTATAGTTTTTTATTCACATCTAAATTTCGCGTTTTAGTATTTTAAATTTTAACATGTGACGTCACAAAACTTTTGACCCCCC